CAATTTTTTTTTACAAGCATTCAAAGTTTGAATTTTGACAACATATGTAAAAATCACGAAAATTCGCAAATTATTTCAAACTTGAAATTCTTAAAAAATTTTCTTTTTAAATCTAAGATTTGAAAATTTTTAATAATCTATAATATATCCTAGACAGATAAACCGTCTTCGCTCAGAATCGGTTTTTGTATACAATGATATAATATCWTTGGATTCAAATTTAATTCTATCCATTACAGTAATCCACTTGTAACCTACTGTACAGCAGAGCGACATACACGACTTACCCACTTTTTATGTCTTATAAATATAATATATTTAAGTCAACTACAAAGAATTTCTTGTTACCATATTGTAACGCTGTTTGAAAAGAAAACTTATGCGTGCTAAGCGCGCCACTTCATACGCTTAGAAATACGGTAAAATATACAGTCATCAGTACCTCAARCATTCGTTTTTGATATAGTTATTGGCACCTAACCCGCTCTTTTCCCAAATCGAATTGCGAATTTAATTTAATTTAATTAATTTTAATTGATAATAAAACAGTATCAGTGTGACCGTAAAAAAACCAAAATTATTTGTTGCCAATAACTACCACCCTGCCAATTACTCCATGCTACACTCTCTAAAGCGCCATTAATTTAAAAAAAATTTCGATTTTTAGATTTTTTCCTTTATTTACACTGCAAACCCTATCTTTGTGCCAAATTTCACGTTTCTACCTATCCGGGAAGTGTCTAATAATGTTGATAATCAGTGAGTGAGTTATATATATGGGTTAGAAAAATCGAGCAAATTGGTTCGTGTAAAAATACACTGGCATTGCTGAAACTTGGCCGGCGCACTACCTTACTTTCAGATTTGCGTGGAATACCTATATCTTAAGGAATTTATGGTAAAATCTCTTATATATATTTACTAATATTATTGTGATTTATGGGTAATAATTTAGGTATTTTACTACTGGCTTGTCAAAAATATTGGATCTAAAACGTAAATGTTTTTGTAAAACAATTTTTTTTTGCTAACTGAAAAATATACTGATATTTGAGTATGATTTATTTTATATAATTAAACACGTCATACAACTAAACCAACAGTGACATTATATATTTTTAGACGCACGTAGTTTTTTATTTTGGATTCTGAAAAAAGTAAGACATGTATTATTGGCTGTCAAATGATGTATGTATGTGCATTTTTAGTTATTTTTTGTTTTGTATCTAATGTCTCTTTTAGGAGCACTGAAATGCTTCAATCTACAAAATTAAGATAGTTTTTGGTAGGAAATSGGATCTAATTATAGTTAAATCAAAATAAACTCAAAACTTACTATACTGAAAATCGACTTCCCCAACGTTTTTAAAAATTATAATTTTTCTGAATTGTTACTATGTATTATTAGGAATCTATTATGCCCTCTAAGAACCATTATCATCGATACAGTAAAAGGGACGCCAAAGTAATAAAATTCTTAAATTCAATAATAGATATAAACAATTCTCTCAAATTGAACATCTGTTCATTTTACGTGGTACATATATTTAAAGTCAATTACTTATAAGGAACTCGTATCTTTAATAGGTTTGTTGTAAAAAATCGATTTCATTTCAAATTTAATCCCATGCAAGTTGACATGACAGAAGTCATTTTTACTTTTATTCTACTTGTGTTTTGTTTTGTTGAGTGCCCTCAGCCCATTAAATTTTCAATTTTTTGAATTGTGTATTTAYTAATTTGCATTATTTTTGTATTAGTTATATCTAATATTAAACTCTATAATCCTTGGAAATGACATATGAAGAAAATCGTAACTTACAAAAAAAGCGTCCTATAAACGTTTTACATAARTCATAAAAAAAAAAGAATTTTGTTCGTTTCCATTACCGGAATTTACTGTTACATACTTACATCATATTAGATATAATCAATATTTCCATTTATCCACTACGGTGGAGGCAAAGCTAATTAAAATAAAATATACTGCGCATGATATATTCATAGTAATAACACTGTGTAAAATTATAAACGTTTGATTGACGCAAATAATGTTTCAAAGTACTTTTTAAGGTGTTCTATTTGATGCAATGTCAATTTGAAAATAGCCATTATGTTATATGAGTTAAACAATGTGTCTAAATAGTTTATAACTTTGTTCAGCGCGCTTTTTACAATAAAACAATATATACGATTTTGTTCATATGGACAATGGCCATGTTTTTCATTTATAGTTTGTAATCCATGCAGTTTAATGTTGTTAATTATTTATAAACTTTTTATGTAGGTATCTAAATGTTTAATTTTAACAAAATTGAGTTAAATGATGGRTGAGATAACTTTAAACTAGATTTATACTCTTAAATTATAGACCATGCTGTATTGTAAGTATTATACTAGCTGCTTACACTTATAAAAAATTATTGTTGTTGGAGCCAAAATATAGTAGTGGTAGCTGTAAAAAAATGTAAATTTTGTTTATAAAAAATATAATAGCTATATTATTATAATTGTATAAATTTTAATATTTCACATATTTGTTATATATTAATAAGTAAACWGGTAATTATTATATAATTCGTCTTGAATTATAAAAAATCAAATCGGATGATTAGGCCGAAGTTGAATCAATCAATCTAAAAGGAGGTAGTTGGTCCCGTTAATGCATCAATATAATAGCTAGCTAGGCTGATTAAAATTTAAAAAGAAGATAGCATGGTTATGTTTTTAATAATTGCAATTTTTTTCCACGCAGTATTTTTATATCGAAATAATTGGTATTTTTTATCAAATCTAGGCCACTTAAGATGCAATTTAAAGTGGCATAAATGCTTGTTGGGATGAAAAGCCAATATTTAACAACCGCAGTCATACATACCACTATTATCTATTTTTAAAATAAAATGTATACATTATATGCTTGTATACATAAGTGAGACGTACTTTTACATCACTTCAATTGTGGTTTTGAGTAGCGCGGTAGTAAGTAGTAAGAAGTAACTTACTATATTAATTAAATATTATTAAAGCATTTTGTGGTTTATAAATCGAATGAAGTATAAAGTATATAATGCATGTATAGTACAGGGTCACCATGGTTTCACTCATATAACAATGGTATTGGTATATTTCATAGTGATTGGTACATTATACACGTGCACGGGTAGTTGTAAGTAACATTTAAGATAAAAAAAATATATTTATATAATGTTTTTAAACGTTATGGAGTATATAATAATATAAGTCTTACCATAGATTATTTGTTGCATGCCTTGTATAAACGTACGAAACACCAATTTCAATATCAATCCTATTTAAGTCTTAAAGTCTGTACGTATTACTTTGTAAAGTTTTCAAGTAAGTACAAAATGTATTTAAGTTGGAATTATTTTGTTGATAAAACTTGTAAGAGCTACTTATTATATTATTATGTTTTAAGTCTTACGAAAACTATCACTTACACCAATGATGACCTTGATAGACTATGYATAACTTTAAAAACAAACTAAGAATAATATTTACTATTTAATACCTGTTCAATAAGCGTAATAAGACCTATACAATTAGCCGATGACGAATACCACAAAGTGATTTTCCAAACATGCACATCTCCATTTTTTTTTTAATAATAAATTTATTCATATTCCAACTTATGAGATTTTAAGTATACCTAATAAAGAACCATGTTTTAAACTATTTAGATTTTTGATACCTTTTAATAAGTGTGCGTGTCCATACAAATTTATTTTTCTAACGAAAATCTACTTTTTTAATGTGATTGCTAAACAAATTAATTTGATAAAGATGTTGGTGTTCTTATCTATCAATTAAAATTTTAACTGGTAGTTTTTGAGTTATAAAAATGTATCAATGTGTAGTACGAATTTTTATGAAAAATAGGAGCTCCTATTATTCTATGCTATGGATTCTGCAGYATGGATCAATTTGTTAATGTTTAGTATTTATACCATATTACACTGACATATAGGTTTTTTTTTAAAGAAATTTTAAAATGCAAAAGGTTTATGATATTTTCGCAGTAACTATAAAATGTAATAATATCTTATGAAATAATGGGATACTTAAAATGATGACATATTTTTATCGGGCTGTATCGTTTTAGGACATCAACAACGTGAAGCTTTTGATGTTGATTGTTTCAGGCCATTCTTGGTCTGGACATTTTGAACCGATAGCCAGTTAGATTGTTTAATTATTTTTACTCTAATGTGGATCCAAGATCCAACTAATCATAATGTTAAATGGGAGATTTAATTCTCTATGTTAGTGCTTCGAATGAATGGGATTACTAATGTCAACCATAGAAATAGGTTTCCGATTAGTTGACCTTCTTTTTATTTATCAAGTAATAATGCCACATTAATACATTATTGTTTACGTTTTTATTAGAATTTTCATGTATATTATATTAGAAAATTTAAATAATTTTTAATAGATATTACAATACTAATTAACTTACAATAATAATTAAAAACRTTAAGCCATGTGTTCTAAAACGTTAAAAACTTCTAACATACAATTAATACGGTCCTCTTACTTGATATTTTTTTGAACAATAAAAAAATGATTGCAGTAACCCATTTAATCAAACTCCAAAAAGCCCATGGCACATAAAGGCCATCTCTGAACAAACATCTAGATTTTACAAACGATTTCAGAAAAATAAAGAACAAAATGTCAAAATCTGCTCCATTTTTTATTTTAATAATTGTTATTATTTTTATACCCATTTCATACGAAATAAAGTTATTCTGCAGAAAATACATATAAATTGATTTCTTTTCTACTCATGTCACCACATGTTATTTTWATTTTACTTATAACAAAATGTACTTAWTGGTATTATATTATTTTATATATAATTACAGATAACAAGAATAAAAATATTAAATACTTAAAAAAAAAATTGCAAAACATATCAAAACGATATTAAAAAACGTACATTTCTATATTTAATTAATATTTTTATTTTGTTTCAGACTTACCGAAGAGAAATTTCAGCTGATAAATGTAAGTATTTTTTTGGTTTTAAACTAAGATCTAATTCTTTATATACTTAACAAATATTCCTAGTGGAAAGCTTAATCTTAAAAAAGCGGGTAAGTCGTGTATGTCGCTCTGCTGTACAGTAGGTTACAAGTGGGTTACTGTAATGGATGGAATTAA